TAATAAAGTCCGCTACAACGGCATACAACAGAGCACGTCCAGCAAACAAGAGATCAATACAGGCTAAGAGACACAGGGGAAAAGGCTTATTTTGTTTTAAAAAACCGCCAAAGGCTGAGGATAATCAAAATGAATGTACTCATCACCAAAGGTCTCACGTGAAAAACATTAAACGGTTTCTGTTTTCAAGTAGGGTTGGAGACCAGTGCAAATTTGCTCTAGCTAAAAGTTCAGATGACAAGGCTTATCTACGACCTGGGACCTCAGAAGGATTTAGTGGTCAACGAAAGCGCCGGATACTGACGCCATCTGCTGAAGAAAGGTCAAGGAAGCTACCTAAATATGACTTCCCAGAAAGCAAAGTATACATCACACCCGCAACACACAGAATTCTTAAGCTTCATTCTGAAACAATTGACAATATGGAAGAGAAGATTCAAGATTGTCAGCAACGGAGACTCTCATTCAGTTTTTGTACGGCCAAAGGCTTATGTTGGCAGTTCAGGAACAACTTGGGCCAGTGAAACTATGGACCTTATAGCCATGTATCCAAATGATTATGAGGTTGACAACTCTGACATCAATGATCACCCCACTTATTCAACAAGCTTAAGGAAGTTCTTCCATGCTATTAAAAACTACCTCCAGCAATTCAAGCACATGACAACTGCTGAAGACCTGAACTGTGTCTCAGGATTGACAACCGAATGTAAGTTTGCGGCTTATAACGAAGTGCGTTTGAAACACCTTGTCGAAAATATAACAAATCTCTTCTGTTTTTGGAAAACTGTACACTCTGCGATGCAGAACGAAACTTTACCACGTCGCGGTTTGTTCCTTCAGTAGTGAGCATAACTGACAAAGCGAGGCAGCTGATCATCGTGCTTCAAACTGATGTTGAAAAAGAGTTTTTAAACGAAGCCTACGAGTCATTGCTATCGAATGTTAAGCAGTTACTTTCACAAATTTCTGAACTTAAGCTCCCTATAATAAAACCACGATGGCTAGACTTAACCGATGCTGGCCCAGGAGTGGCAGTTTCCAATGGTGATGTACGTTTTCATGATGCAGAAATGGCCATGTTCCTGGGATCTGACTGGCGATGTCGATGTCACCGAGCTAGGGGCAACAGCTGTCAAAATGAGGCTGAACGAACTAACAGTGCTTTGGGAGATGCTATTGCAGATGGAGGAACAATATAATGGGAATATTATGAACAGTTCCATGATCTGACGGATGAGCAGGTGCAGAATTTATCTTTGAAAGAATACACAGAACACGAAGAAGCTCGGATGGAGAAAAATGCTTGGAAAGTTGCTGTTGATGTCGAAAACCGGCTTGATGACGCCCCTGTGTTGAAAGAGCTTGTTAAGGCTCATTTAACAAAACCAGAAGATAAACAGTTCTTCTTCAATAAGGATAACCTTAAACAGTACCTAAATGCTCAGTCTGAACAAAAAAACACGTCAGTACCTGGACACGGATACATGAAGACTGTGAACGAGTTTTACGATATGCACTATCAGACTGGCGAACTGTACTTTGAGTTCTTGAAAGGAAGTTGTATGGCCAAAACAGGCGAGCTTTGCAAATGGTGTGAGCAAAATCCTTGGTTAAGTGAACACATGACGCATGTTCCACGGCCATATCCTGTTCCTGGTAGTACACACTATGCTGATGTGTTTGCTACTCCCACCGAAATTGACAACATTCCTCGTCCACCGGATGACTTTCAACCCCGAGCACAAATTAAGAAAGAGCACAATTCTGGTGCTTTAAAGCTGGAGGATGAAGAGTCGTTACGCACTTTTTCGGAAAAATACTGCGTCGCTGTAGAATTAGTCCGACAATATCTGCAGCACCTTAATAACATGGGGAGAATTAGATTAATCAAAATGAATGAACGACAGAAGTTGAAAGAGGCAAAGAAACGAAAAAAGTACACAGATTATAACTGGAAGGAGCTTGTTGAAACAGGTCACATTTCGGATTTGACAGTCCCAGAACTAAACAAATACCTCACGAAGCACAACCTGCAACTGAAAGGAAAGAAGAATGTGAAACTAGATACAATCAAGCGACACGTTTATATACACATTGGAGATGAAATGATTGATGATGACGTCTACAACTTCGAGAGGAACAACGAAACCAACGCAGATGGCGAAGAGAGTGAAAATGAGCGGGCAGATGATGAACATAGTGGTGGTGAAGACAGTGATGAAAGTGACGAAAATACTTTTGTTCTGAACATAATTTCTGACTCAGATTCGGAGCATTCAGTTACTGATTTTCCCGGGAACGATGCAGAAGAAGAGTTGGCAGACAATAACAATCCCTTCGTAAACATAACTTTACGATCTGGCAGAACTGCTACGAGGTTCTTTAGAGACATACTGGAAAAGTTTACAAACTGACATATCTTATCTAATGTGGTCGCACGACTTCCCTCACGATTTGAAGTTTGAGACTGGTTTTCTGTTGAGTTCGTCCTAATTTGCCTGTTCCGATTTTAGTTGAAAATGAGCACTTGCAAATTTGGCAATTACTGATTGCGTTGCTTGCTTTTTTGGAGTTAATAAAACACAGCCATTTACACATTGTTTCTATTTTGAATAAGCAGAGAAAACCTCGCAACATCTTAATGCGAGTTTGTTTATTTTGGTTGCTGTCATTGGTTTTTTTTTTACAATTGACGCGCGAATGGGGCGTGTTATGAAAAGGGGCGTTTTACAAAATACCGGGCCTTGCTTGCAGGCCCACTATTCTTCCCTTGGGCCTGCACGCGGGCTACTATTTTTGCTAATTATCGAATATAGCAAAAATAGCTCATTTTCAAACCGCGATAAGCCGAGAACTCTTCGGTTTTATGGAGTAAATTCATGTTTTAAATTCATGCCACTTTTCCAACACCCAAAACATGCATAAATACAATGGGAATTTAACATAAGTAAAATTTTTATTAAATAACTAAACAAAAAGTTATCGAAACATACCTTTGAGAAAACGAGATCTTCACGGCAAAAATCGCAATATATTTCAACAGTTTTTAAAGGCCGTGGGCTGTTGTGCGAAAACGTGCCTAGAAAAGCAATTTCGTGGCACCCTCCTGGGAAATAGATTTTCTGTGGTTCAATTCATTGAACCATAGATGCTTAATTACCACAAAAAGTTCCCAAGCAAAAAACTTGCCCAACACCGAGAAAATGGGTGATCAGTGATTATCCTCTATTAAATTGTATTACAGCAAGAAAATGTAAAATTTTGTATTCAATTACAACAAAAATGACTTGCATGATCAGAAAGCTTACAAAAACCTACATATAAGACATTTAAACAGTTTTTTATATCTATAATTGTTTTCGAGTTATACGCTGTCAAAAACACGTTTTTGATCTAGTACCCAGTCCTTATTGCGACATTTTGGTCCAATTTTCACATTTAAAACAGCAATAACTCAAATACTATTTGAAAAATCAAAAAACTGTTTAAAAGTCTTATATGCGGTTTTTTGTACGTTTTCCGATGATGCAAGTCATTTTTATTGTAATTGAATACAGAATTTCCCATTTTTTTGCTGTAAGAGGGCCCTGAAGGGGTAAAATGGGAACTGGGATTGACCTATTTTTAGACTGGGAAAATGGGATTTGGGTTGCTGGGACTGGGATTTGGCCACTAGGAATGGGAAATGAAGTCCTCAAAATGGGAATGGGATTGAGGTAATGCGAGTCGATTCCCAATTTTTCTGCGTTTTGAGTATTTTAAAATACAATTTTGATCCGTTTTTGGTGTCGTTGGTCATGATTTTTGTTGTTAACTATATTATTCACAGCACTACCTGCGAACAGGCATACTCTGGCGCCCGGAATTCTGGGTTTTCTGATTATGCGTGTCTCAGAATGCTGCAAATGCCATTTCCGGGATTCAAATTTAAAAATTTTCCGTGCCTTCGGCACGAGCCCCCCCTAATATTTCATAAAGTGTCCGCCACTTGCTTAAAAGGTCTTAAAACTGTTTATTCTACCGATAAATAAAGGGGTTTTTATTAACTGGGATTTCAATAACTAGGACTGGGATTTCTAATAAAAATCCAACTGGGACTGGGATTTTGCCAAAATTTCAGGTGGGAAATGGGATTGGGACCCCCCTTCAGGACCCTCCTGTAATACAATTTAATAGAGGATAATCATTGATCACCCATTTTCTCGGGATTGGGCAACTTTTTTGCTTGGGAACTTTTTTGGTAGTGATGTACCTAGGCGTAAAAAAAAATACCTGTGGTTCCGGTTTCATATCGTGAAAAAATTAGGGTCGGTAGGTCGGAAATAAATTTTTTTTTTGAATATTTTTTTCATGGTTTTGTCGTTTTTTTTTGCTGGGCGATTTGCATTAGAGTCCCGACATCAATATTAACTAGAGGTGCGTATTTCCTATGGACGAATTGAGGCAATTTGGTTCAATAATTATTGTGACAACAGACGCCATTTTGGCACGCTGTATGAGCAGCCCGCAACCACCTGGAGAAAATAGGGTCGCACGGTCAATCGCGTTGAAAAAATAATAGGGTCGGCAGAAAAAAATAGGGTCGGTCGGGAACCGGAACCACAGGTATTTTTTTTACGCCCTATATGCCTTTCAAATAAACCCCAAACCAAGTATTTCCCACATGGGTGTCACGAAGCGAAATAATTTTGGCCAACAGCCCACGGCCTACGGGGTGTTGAGAATAAATAGCTTGAATAATAATGAGCCGCACTGATTCACCTTCATATTTCCACCGACTCTATTCTAAAAGCAATTGACCAGAAGAAAGTAACAGCAGTTATTCTTTTGGACATGAGCAAAGCTTTTGACAGCATTAACCATATTATACTGCTTGCTAAATTGGAGGACGTTGGTGTCTCGTCTAGATGCCTGGGTTGGTTTAAAAGTTACCTCAGCGAGAGATACCAAGCAGTACGTATCAACTCTACTCTATCTGAGAAATTGCCAGTGGTTAGTGGTGTCCCACAGGGAAGTATTGTGGGCCCGTTACTTTTCAGTATTTATGTGAATGATTTGCCGTCAGTCGCCAAAAATTGTTCATCAGAATCGTATGTTGATGACACCAAACTCCTTCTGTCCTTCCGAATCAATGACTCGAACATTGCGCTGACTGATCTAAACGAGGATTTGATTAGAATGCGAAACTGGTGTTTTGATAACCTGCTATTGCTGAATCCAGACAAAACTAAATTGATGGTCTACGGAAGCCGCCAAATGCTCGCGAAGTTACCTGATTTTAGACTCTCGCTACTTGGTAAGAAACTAACACCTGCTTCATCAGTGAAAGATCTCGGAGTTAAGTTTGATCCAACCCTCTCCTTCGACAATCATATCCTTTCTACTGTTTCATCCTGCAAGTCAAGTCTCTGCCAGATAAATCGCGCTAAGCATGTCTTCCGTAAAAACCTTTTAATATCTGTCATCAACGCCCTAGTATTTAGCAAACTCTACTATATATTGTTCCTCTCTTTGGTCAAATACCTCCTGCAGCAACCTATCCCGACTTCAAGGAGTCCAGAACTTCGCAGCACGAGTAGTGAGCAACAGAAGGAAATTTGACCACATCACCCCGATACTTAAGGAACTGCGCTGGTTTCCCGTGAAGTCACATCTGTACAGTCGCGA